TTTATTTCTTGAGACACAGTAGGACAATACCCTAATTCTGAAAAAGACCTTGGAGTAGTTTGTGAGCCTATGAATCTCAATCCTTTTGGGTTAAAAAAAAAACAACTTTTCATAATTGTAGCCTAGCCGGGCATTGGTGGCGCACGCCTTTAATCCCAGCACTCGGGAGGCAGAGGCAGGCGGATCTCTGTGAGTTCGAGACCAGCCTGGACTACCAAGGGAGTTCCAGGACAGCCTCCAAAGCCACAGAGAAACCCTGTCTCGAAAAAAACAAAAACAAAAACAACAACAACAACAAAACATAATTGTAGTCTAGGACCACCTGCAAGTCAGATGTTTGCATTAGTAATAACAGGAAAATTTTGTAGTAAAGAAATCACCACAACATGGGAAACTTCTTTAAAGGGTCAGAAAATTAAAATTTTAAAAAGCTAACCCTGACAATGAAAAGTCCTAGTCTTATAAAATCTGCTAATTGTATTATAAAATGTTAAGAATTCAAGTTATTAGCCATCCTTATAAATGATTAAGTTTGCTGATTGTAGTCATGTTAAATATTAATGTGATTAATTATAGGCACAAATCTTACTTAGTCTCCTGTATATGTTTTCAAAAGTTGAGCTAAAAACAAGTAACTAAAAACAAAGTTGTCTTTTCAGATTTACCTAGGCAACCCTCTAATACTTCAGAGATTTGTAGAATATGGCATTTAAAATGTTAAATTCAAAGTTTATAACATCAGACAGAGACTCCCAGATGCTGTCAGTGACCCAAGAACTCCAAAGAAGATTATGGGGCACCCCGGTTCCTGTAACTGGACTATGAGGACACTGACCAGGGGCCAAGATGTCCCAATGCAACACCTGCTGCCAGAACCCGGCCCAGACTGTGGACAAGCTATGGGGCACTGGAGAACTGATTGTACCACTTTTGCCTAGACAAAATAAAGTCTGTCTTTTCAATATCTCCCTTCCACAGAGAGGAAAAAGACTCTCACCTTATGGTCCTGTCCAAGATTGATGCTGTTCTTTGATACTTCTGCCTCCAACACTATGGAGACTTGGGTATGGCTAACTGCATATGGACTGGTCCTTGTTATTTTTTATTAGATTCAAAAGTTAAATAGAATTTATCCTTCTCAGATCTCTGATAGTATTGATGGTCGTGCTAGCTATAACTTTGTTAGCTTGGCAAGCATCAGGCAGACAGATACTTCTATAAGGTCATGCTCAGCTTGGTACTTCATTTTATATATTAAGATCATGCCTTGATATAGTTCCTAAATAAAGTCCTGAGGACATAAGTACACATAAGTTTCAAGGATATAAAATAATTTTAAACTGTTTTCCCTCCTATGATATAAACGTTCAGAGCTTGACTTTTAATAAAGTTCTGATAAGCTGATAGAGCAGTGACTACCTGCTATTCAGTCACAAGCTCAAGAATTTAGATTTATTTTCGTTGTCATCTATAAACCTATAGGACTTCTAATCAGGCCAGAGGTATCTCTGTCCAATCTATACTTGGCCCCCTCTGGACAGAAGAAAAATGTACAAAACTGTAGGTTTTGTTGAGATTTAAATGAGTGTATTACAGATACCCAATATCTGCTTTTTTTTGCAGTGTGGATTTCTATACATTGGTAATGCTAATATATCTAAAAATTGTATGCCCTCTTGTAAAATAAAGTCCATATAGGCTTCAATGGATCAAAAAGTCATAAAGCTTGGATCCACTCCTCACAAGACTCCAGATAAATTTCCCACCTGTCTGTTCCTGAGGATGGGATTTTTTCTCCTGGTCTTGGGACTCCTGCCCTTCCTGACCACTAAAACCTATGGGTCTAAGAGTTCTGATAGAGCACATAAATTTTAACTTCTGTTCCTAGTTTAAACATGTCTCAACAGGTTTTCAATTCTGCCAGAACCATCCAAACATCAGTTGCTGACTACAGCCTGCTCCAAAAGACTGTGAGCACTGGACTTGCTGTTGATGTGGACCAGTCCAGTCAATGTGAACATTCCCCATATATTCAACAGAGTCTTCAAGCCAGCTGCTTCTGATAAAGACCCCCTTGCCTAATGCCCTTTATGCTTTTGACTAGCATTTCAGCTTGCTTAGACCCCTCATAACAATACCCCAAAAGTCATCAGGAAATAGCAGAAGAAAGAATATGTCGTCCCTTTTCCCTGGTTGAGATGCTAAGTCAAAAGAAATCTCCCTTACATAGGGGACAAGATGACAGTAGAACTTGTACCCCAAACTTCTCCAGAGTCTTTTAAATTGTCCACTAGTAACCCAAAAATGGGTTGCCTATAAGGAAAGGGGGGATATGAGAGCAAGGCAAACTGCTTAGTTTGCCAGTTGGTGTTATCCTTGGAGATCTCTGGAAATCTCACTAGTATTTGTGTTCTTTTGAAGACTGAACATTGTGGCCAAGTCCTTATTGTAAGTACTCTGGAGGTATGCTTAGAGATACAGAGATAGATGAATGGATGATGGATGCATGGATGGATAGATGATAGATAGATAGATAGATAGATAGATAGATAGATAGATAATGTGTGTCATGTGAGTGTTTACATCCAAGTGCATATGAAGAAATAAAGAGAGACAGAAAGAGGAATCCCTGTTTCAAAAACAAAACCAGTATTACTCAACTGGGGCCTCTCCACTCTTCCTAGCTGTTTTTTCACATGTATTTTTAAAATACATGTTAGCTTTGCTGGATACCAATGGTCATGAGAAGTGATGCAGGGACCAGGCCATCATACACTCACTGGTGGATGTTCAGAGAAACAAGGACATGATAGCCATGAGCAACTGAGATCTGGGACAGAGGCAGTATGGGTGCTGAAGGCTATATGTGATCTATGGGAAATGTCCCAGACTCTGAAGCAGATCAGTAAGAAAGGAGAAAAAGTGAAAACTGTGGGGCTAAGGAAGAAGAACCAAGGCAGAAGACCATCTGGACAAGGGACTTAGGAGATCAATTGGAAAGAAAGCCAAGTGTCTGTGGGACAGGAGGTCTTTTTACGTCTTGTTTTTTTGAGACAGGATTTTTCTCTGTAGCCTTGTCTGACTTTGATCTATAGACCTTGAACTCAGAGATATGCCTGCCTCTACCTCCCAAGTGCTGTAATTAAAGTTGTGTACCACCACTGCCAAAGCAAGTACAGGAGTTCTCCAAAGCAAACCTGAGCCTAGGCAGGGTCCAGATAACTTGGGCATCCACCAAAACTCTAGGTAAGGAATTAGGTCCCTGTTTCTTGTAGTTTAACAAATAAGCTTGACAGAAGTTCAAGTGCTGAGCTAGCCACTAATTAGTCATAGAGGCGAGGCAGTGGTGGCACACACCTTTAATCCTAGGGCTCAGGATTAAGATAGACAGATCTCTGCAAGTCCAAATTCACTCATGGATACACCTTAAATCCCAGTATTTGGGAGTCACACGCCTATAATCCCAGCACTAGGGAGGTGGAGACAGGGGAGATTATGGTGGGTGGAGAGAGGAATATAAGGAGGAGACAAGAGCTCATGTCATTCAGTCTGAGGATTCCTAGGGACAGGATTGTACCTTTTGTCTGAGGATTCATTAGAGGTAAGAACTAATGGTGGGCTGCTCTGTTTCTCTGTTCTTTCAGTATTAACTCCTATATTCGACTTCGTGGTTTGTTTTTTTTTAGTATTAAAATCAATTAGAATTTTGCTTCCTCAGTAGAACTCTAAAGGGACACAATGATTGATACCATGTTAAAAAGTAATAGTCGTGTCTTATGTTGGTTTTATATGCTTTCAATTTTTTAATAATAAATGATAAGGGTTTTTTGTTGTTGTTGTTTTGGTTTGGTTTGGTTTTTTAAGACAGGGTTTATCAATGAAACAGTCTTGGATGACCTTGCAGCCCAGGTGGACCTTGATCCCACAGTGATCAACTTGCCTTTGCTTGCCATGTGCTGGGATTAAAGATTTGTGCCACCATTGTCAAGTTTAATAAATGCTTTAAGACTGATTCCGGGCAGTGGTGGCACACACCTTTAATCCCAGCACTCGGGAGGCAGAGGCAGGTGGATCTCTATGAGTTACAGGCCAGGCTGGACCAACAGCCTCCAAAACAATACAGAGAAACCCTGTCTCCAACCAAAACCAAACCAAAACAAAAAGACTGGTAACAGGTCTGACTCTCCTCTCAGAGAGGAAATCACGGATTCCTCTGACCAGAAGTGAAAATAATGACTTACTAGGCAGACTTACTCATGCTTTTATGGTTTACCAATTAAGAAACAAATGTCAAAATCCAGATATTGGAATCTGAAGACTGGTAACATCAGCCATAAATGGCCGAAAAGTGTAGGCACTAGGGCTTCTGAAAGGATCAAGTACCTGTGAGTAAATAGCCAATTGATTTCCTCCTTCACAGCAAATTCTCCAAAATCTGAACTAACATTAATGTTTCATTACCTAGGAGGAATTCTAGGCATGGAGGAGCTCTGGAAATGGAAGGTTTTGATTGGTACCCTGTGATTTTCTGGTTGTCTCTAGCTAACTCCCAGGAAGATGTGATCTCAGTCACTCTTTGTGGGAAGTATGAGAGATGCTTTGTATTGTCTCTGAGTCCATCTTGTTGATATTCTTGTTTTGGTTGAGATTCAGGGACTAACCAGTGTGGCTCTGAGCAGAAACAGCTCAGTGTCCCCTGGGAGACAAGAGTGTCTTTGCCTTTAGAAGGAGGCTGGTCTTTGCTTAGAGGTCTACCAAGAGAACATGCTCATGTCTCTGCCTTCAGTTTTATCTGTTTGCTGCCTTATTTATGTCATGACCAGAAGTGAGACTGATGACTGTAGGTAAGGGACCGGGAAAGAAGACAGTGTTTGGGAGGACATGGGTCCCTGGCAGAGAGGCCTGTGTGATTCCTAGTCAGAATGAAGACTTGCCCCATACAGTGTGTTGAGAGCCACAGCCAACCAGAGTGTCTTCTCATTGTCCTTCAGGTCAACACCATGATGCATGCTCAAGTCTTCATTTCAGGATTCATATTACTACTCCTAGGTAAGTGATTCAATGAACTGGGGAATGCTGAGGAGTCTAAAGTGGGGAAAATTGATGACAATCCTTAAGACTTTTTGTTTATGGGTTATGTAGTAAGCAGAGCATTAGGATAAATTGTAGCTCCAAAGAATTTTCTTGCTCCTGTATGAATTTCAAAATGTATGGATAAATAAACATGATTCCTAGAACATGTCAGGGAAGAGTACACCTCCAAGATTTTTTTAAAAGATATAAAAATTATTTTAGATAAATATTGAGTATTAATTCTCCACTTCTTCACCCCACTTTTTATATCACAGGTGTTGTGGATTCTGATGTAGTATTGAAGGCGGTGGTGGGTGACCCTGTCACACTGCCATGTCATTACTCAACAAATCTTGGAATCAGTAAAACTTGCTGGGGCCTTGGCGAATGTCAATCATTTTATTGTGCAAGAACACTTATCTGGACCAATGGATATCGAGTCACCTATCAGAGGAGCAGCAGATACCAGCTACAGGGACCTATTTCAGAAGGAAACATGTCCTTGACAATACAGAATGCTGTTCAGAGTGACAGTGGTCCCTATTGTTGTATAGTTAAAATTCCTGGATCTTTCAGTTATGTGACCTATTTGCTGGAAGTTAAACCAGGTAAGCGTTCTTTCTTTCCTTTGTTATTTCTTGCAAGTGAACTGAGTCCTCTGTTCGCTAATATTTTCTGTTTTCATTTAAGAAGGAAACTGAAGGTTGTTATAAATATGTTTGTGTATAGGTGGAGAGTTACACTCCCTGTCTGCCCTGACTTGTGCTTTTGGAATAGGACTCACATCATGTCATGCAGTTTGTTGCTTGAACAATGGAAATGTCCTGATAGAATTGTGTTCCCTCCACCACCTGTTCACTTGTCACTCTGCAGTGTGATCACATGAGCAGTGGTTAGTCCATAGTCAGTCTGCAGTGTGGTCACATGTGCAGTTAGTCCATAGTCACTCTGCAGTGTGGTCACATGAGCAATGGTTAGTCCATAGTCACTGGGCAGTGTGATATTATGATGCTGACACACAATTCCCTCCAGTAAACTTTTTTAGAATGAGAAGGTTGAGATCAGATCTGCAGGTGGGAGGGAGAGCATTAGAAAGAAACAATACAATCTATGAAGTTCATCCCTTGATGGGGTAAGAAGAGGATTCCAGGGAAGGGGAGTCTATTCCTTACAACCTGGACAGGAGATTCATTAAGAGCAGGAATGGGAGAGGGGTAGAGAGAGCTGCCATTATAAGAATGGCAGGGCAGACAGAGGACTGTCCTCAGAGGGCAGCTTGCAAAATGATCTTTTTAGCATTCTACATAAGAGAGACCTTGATGGGTTGGTTCCAAATCATGATGGGAGAGATGTGGATGAGCCATGCAAGCACTGCTGGTATGGAGAGTTTTATTGGGGGAAGCGAATGGGAAAGAGGTGAGGAGAAGAAGAGAGGGGACAGGAAAAGGGAGTGCAGGGCAGCATTGTGGGAAGAGGCAGGAGAGAGAGAAAGAGGGGGGAGAGAGACTTCAAAGGGAGAGAACAAGGGGGAGACAGGCAGAGTGGGGTCCTCCACTTTTAAATCAGGGGGCACAGTGCATGTACACAGATCACACAACAAGACAGGGTACTGCCTGTGTGCTGGGCGGGCATGTGTGTGGATTCTAACTTTCCTCCTATTTTTGGTTATTAAAAAAAGGTGAGGAGTTAGGCATGGCAGGTTAGGAAGTCCAGACTACTTCCTGCTGATCTGGGGATATTGGAATCTTGGGAACCTGAGAACTGGGGAGAGGGCCACATTCTGGAGTAGCTGGTTGTGTCAACATTGTCCAGGCTCTATAGAACTGTCCATTGTCTCTTAGGCCTGGTGATGTGCCAGCCCAGCAGATGACAAGGTTAAGTTTAAGGAGTTAGTCCTGGTGAGTGAGGGAAGGGTGTGTCAAGACCAGCGGAACTGTTGGGAGGCTTTAGCTTCTTGGGTCCTGGTAACTGAGGGAGAGGTGCACCTCATTTGTTTGAGGTGAATCCAAGTTGACCTCATGGAACTTACAAGAATTTCTTGAGTTTGTGAAAAGTTAAGGTTTAGAGATGGTGTTTGACATCCTAGTGCTCCCATCATTTGTAACCTGTAATGAGATTCACACTGAAGAAGTGGCAATATGTTCATGCCAGAAATGATTCTGGTTGAGAGCATTGACATTCTGTCTTGTGTCTGGAAAAGTGAGAGATGTTTTTATCACAATGAAAAGTACCCTTTAAGTCTTTAGTTAGATGGAATTTAAAATCCTGGTTTTATAGTCAACATCATATAGTGATATTATGGTGTTTAGTACTCTGCCAGAGCTGGGTCAATAGATATCCAAATTTCATCCATGACTGTTAAGACTATGAACTTTCAGAATCTTAATATAAGAGTAGCATAACGAGAGAGAAAGATCTGGGGACATGTTTCATCAGCATTTAAGCTTTTTTTAATCCTCTGACATCAAAATTTGCATTTACTCACCTTAAGTCACTTTCTCAGATCCTCATCCTTTAAGTTTCATAGATTAAAACACAGGTTATCTAATTTACTAGGAGGTACAGGGGCTTGACCACTGAGAGCAGTCACTGCAAAGCAAGGTCTTTAAACAAAGAAATGGTAACAGTTACATTAAATGTTTGTGAGTTTTCTTTTGAGTGTGGTAGCAAGGTGAACTGTGTCTAGACTTGGTATTGGCTCTAGGAGATTGAGGCCTGTGATCTGAATTTTACAGGGAACTGAGAAGCAGCTGATGCCTTGGTTGTTACTGTTAAGCTGGCCTGTAGTTATATTTGTGATTTATTAAAAGCTTGCCTGAGGATTCAGAACAGCAAGATCATTTTAAAGCTATGAGATTAGGCAGTGGTGATACACACCTTTAATCCCAGCAGCCTGAAGCTAGGAGATGGACTTGGGATTAAGATATAGACTCATCTCTTTGAGTCCAAGGCCACATAGAGATACACAAGATTGAATTAGTCTAAAAGAGTAACAGATCACACGCCTTTAATCCCAGCCCTAGTAGGGTATAAAAGATGGAAGCAGGGTCTTCAATAGTGAGTATGAAGCATTCAGTCTCCAGCCATCCTGAGGAGAGACAGTAGTGTGAAGCTTGGTGAAGAGCAGGTGCATGGCTTAGCCATTCAGGCTGAAGTAGAGGTAAAAATCCAGTGGCCAACTGTTTTGATTTTCTGATCTTCAGCTTGAAGTTGGAAGCAAAATCAGTGTCTGAGTCTTTTATATATTTTTGTTACACTTGCCAAACTACTAGTCAGTCAACAGCATCAGAGTTCTGAGAAGGATAAAATTTACCTGAGTTAACGATTAAAAATTACAGACACGTGCTGGCTGCTTACCCCCGGGGGCCTCCACTGTCACTGTGATTAGGCAACTTGAGGCTGTTAATATCCTAATGTCCTGTTTTGTGCAGGGTCTGAAGAGGGTCTTTGCAGGAGTTGAGGTGAAAGGCAGGTTTGCTCCGTGTCTGGTGCTCCCACTTTTGAAGCCAGTTCCAGGTGGAGGTTCTTCTGTGCCCGTCCATCTTCTTTGAGGAAATAGGAGTGCTTCCAGGACCTGACACTTGTCTCTATTACAAAAAGCTTTTTAAGTAAACATTTTAAATGCCACATTTTGCAGATCTCTGAGCACTTGAGGAATGTCTGTCTATTAGGTGTATCTCAGTAGACATTTCACTTCTAGCTATTTGCTTTAAGCTTGACTCTGAAAAGTTATATGGGATTAGGTAAGGCTTATACCTGGAGTTAATTACATCAGTATCCAGCATGACCATATTTAAAGAGCTTGATCATTTATAAGATGACACTGGTATTCCTAAACAGTCTACAATAGGTTAGCAGCTTCCATAGGACTAGGACTTTACATTTCTGTCAGGTTTAGCTCTAAAAATAATGATTTTTAATTGAAGATCTTTTGTATTAAAATAAGAACCAAAAGATAGCCATTCTGAGGGTAGTGACAGAACAAGCTTGTACAAACTGTGACTGTCACCTGAGAAGGCAAGGAAAAGTGATAAGAAAAAGATACCAGCGACAAATGGGAGAAAGGGAGCTTGTAAACTGGGATGTGGCCTATGAGCAGGGACTAAGGGAGCACAGAGGCCAGCACTGCCCTTGACAGGTCATTTGGACCTCTGCCCAAATACCCAACTCAGTATAACTTATTTATCAAACATACATTGCCACTTATTTAAATTCTTGGTGTTGAACATTTGGCAAAAACATAAATACTCAGATTTAAATCTCTAAGTTGCCTTTGTTAATCTGAATAGTTTTTTTTATTTTTGGTTTTTTGAGACAGGGTTTATCTGTGTAGTAATGACTATCCTGGGAGTCACTCGGCTCACCAGGCAGGCCTTCAACTCAGAGATCCACCTGCATCTGCCTCCTAAGTGCTGGTATTAATGGCATGTGCCACCACACCTGGCCTGAATAGATATTTATAACCTTAAATTTTTAGCACCATATATAGTACATTTTATTTTATTTTACTTTTTTTTTGACATAGGGTTTTCTGTGGCTCTGGAGGCTGCCCTGGGCCTAGCTCTTGTAGACCCAACTGGTCTCAAACTGCCTGCCTCTGGCTCCTGAGTGCTTGGGTTAAAGACATGTGCCACCACCTCCAGGCTATAGAATATATTTTAAAGCAGAGCTGAATCACATATATAGTATGTTGTAAGAAATCTAACCATGTATTTTACTGTCATACAATATTTCATACCAATCCAAAATATTTTAGATTTGCTACTTTCTTAATCTAGGAGACACAATGACCAACGAGCTCATTAGAACTTAAAAATTAAAAGGGAAAACCAGTGGACACTGAGCAAATTGAAAACCCCAAATATAGACATATTACATTTTCTTCCTTCTTTCCTTCCTTGCTTCCTTCTCTCCCTCCTTCTTTGCATCTATCCATCCTGCCTTCCTTCCTTCCTTCCTTCTTCCTTTCTGTTTTGTTTTTTTTCTATCTAGACAGGGTTTCTCTGTGTAGTCTTGGCTGTCCTGGAACTTGCTCTGTAGAAAAGGCTGGCCTTGAATTTACATAAAACTACTTACCTCTGTCTCTAGAGTGCTGGTATTAAAGGAGTGTTCCATAACCACTAGGCTTTACATTCTCCTTATTGATATAAGGGTATCTTTGCATTGACTAAAAGAGTAGACTCATGGAAATTTCCTGACATCTGCTGTTCCTCCTAATCCTTTCACTAACGGGTATACATGGACAACAGAGATCAATAATGGAATAAATCTGTATATATTTTTAAATTAAAACATTTTTCTGTAATCTCTCAGCTTCTAGACTTGGTTATTCATTCATTCACTCATTCACTTTTATGTTTTATGCATACCCTGATGAATTTTTCAGATGGCAAACTTCTGGGGTTGGTACTCTCTTTACAGATATTTACATGAGTTCTAGGAATGTTAGTCAACTGTCCATTTTTTCAAATCAAGTGGCTCTACCCATTGAACAATTATTCTGGATCCCAGTTTATTGACTGATTTATTGATTTTGAGACTTGGCTTTCCTTTGTAAACCAGGCTGATCTGGAACTTCTTTCCCATGCCTTAACCCCCTAAGCTTGGGATTGCAGGAATGTGCAACCACACCTTTTTTACCTGGCTGATGTTAAATATGTCTTGACTCCAAGGGTACTCACTCATAAGAGAATAAACCTACACACACACACACCAGAGAGAGAGAGAGAGAGAGAGAGAGAGAGAGAGAGAGAGAGAGAGAGAGACAAAGAGACAGAGAGAGACAGAGAGAGAGACAGAGAGAGACAGAGAGAGAGAGGTATCACTTAAAATAACCTCTCCTAGGGGTTGTGATTTTTCTAGCATGTCTGAAGCCTTGGCTTCTGTCCCTAGAACTGCAAACACACTAATCAAGTAAAGCCTGTGGTGTACCTTGGGAAGGCACTTGTCTAGCACATATTCTTGCCTAAAACACTGGGGTTGGATTTCCAGAACTAGCATAAGGATAGGCATGGCATCATAACATAAAATAACCAATTTCAATTCAGTAATTGAAGGTTTTATGAGGCTCAAAAATTCATTAACAGCTCAATGCTTACAGATGCCATAAGTGATCCAGCACTCTGATTCCTCCTTAACAACAAGGTAAACACACACTGCATGAAGTCTTACACTGTACCCCACATAAGGAATGGTTAAAGCTATTTTCCTAATTGTTGAGCTATTATTTTGTAGTTGGCAGAAGTAAAATTGAAGGAAATCACTTACATGGGTAATGTCTGCTGACACTGAGAGTGAGTCCTTGCACTAATTTGCCATATGTCCTGACTAGAAACATAGCATACTAAGACCATTGGTACTCTTTTGGATGCTATTGATTTGTGAACTGTAGGTTGAACCTGCCTGAAACAAACATCCAAACTCTTCAGAGATTAAAAATCTAGAACCTTTTAAGCATGGACTTGGTAAAACACCTAAAATTCAACGCCATGAAATTATCATGTGTAGGATTATCAAAAGTTTATAAACTTTCCATTAACATAAACATATAAATCGCATGCATATCAATGCTACATCAACCATGTTTATACTTGAGGATCATTTATAAGATAATATCTATATGCAAACATTCAGAATTGTTAAAAAGATTTAAATTCTGATATCAAACATTTTTGGATACAGGGTATTCACCCTGTCTGTCTTAGAGAGAACTACAATATCCACTCTCTACTCAAATGTACAATTCCCATTTGTGTTGCGCTGGTGTGGAATCTGCATGCTAAGATGCAAGGCTATATGTTGTATCCTTTTGGGACTGACTGTAATAAAGAATAAAGATGCAGGGTCTGGAACTGAGGATTAAATCAGCAGCCAGTGAATGCAGTCACATGTTCCCACACACTCTCAGTATCATAGATGCTTAGAGATCTGAGGACCTGACAGTTGTCATTTAAACTGTCCTTAGAAACATGGGCTCTGTTCTCATCTCCATGTCATCAGTGCAGCTGCCTCCTATTGGTGAGCTGTCCCCACAGCCCTGCCCTGCCCTGTAGTAGTTGCTCAGTGACAAGGAGAGAAGTTCAAGCAATGAGCCTCTCTGGGGACAGTCTCTCACTGGTGCTACAACAGAAGCTCTTGTCGCTTCTTGCTGACTCATCCTTGTTTCATTTTTATTTCCAAATCCAGAAATTCCAACAAGTCCTTCAACAAGTCCTACAACTACAACAAGACCCACAACAACAGGAAGACCCACAACTACAGGAAGAGCAGCAACAGGAAAACCTACAACAGGAATACTCACAAAAAGTATACTCACAGCTACAAAAAGGCCTACAACTACAGTGAATCCCATGAATGTGACAATGAGACCCACTCATGAACCAGCATCTCCCAGAGTTTCTACCTTGACTCCTACAACACCAGTACATATGGAAACTTACACACCAGGTAATTCCCAGTGTAGTTCAGGGTCCAGAGGCTCTCTTACTAGTGGCTGTAGAACACCCAGACACCAAGTCAATTCAGAGTATACATGGGTGAAGAGTTCTTAGCTAGTTCCCAACAACAGCTTCACAGAGACTGTAACTTTCCACTCTGGAGATACATTCACCTTCTGCTGTACAAGAACTTGAAGAAATAGAGACACCATCTCTCTATATCAGATTCCCAGGGGATTCACTACTAACCAGATTTAGGTGGATCATTGACTAGGGTAATTGAGCATGGGGGGTGGGCATCTGATTTAGGTTGGTATGAGATTTTGGTGAGAAATTAAGGATTGACTGAGACCCTTATCCCTTTGCATCATTGTGAAATTGGTCCATGCAGCTGAGGCCATAGTTCAGTGACGCTAACATTTAGCATTTCCTGAACACTAGGCTGCATGCTTCATGCTTTATGATACAGAGTTCAATTCTCAGACAATTATGTCCTATATAGCTGTGATCTGTCCCTATTTTATAGGGACAGGAACTGAGTCAGAAAATTCATGGTAGAGTTAAGAAGACCGGAAGTGGCTTAGACTCTATCCCTGTTCCTTTGAGTTGGCAGCTGGTTATTCTAACTCCAGAGTCAGAACACCTGCCCTGAGCATGATGTGGAGAGGGTTTCTACTGTTCCCACACCTTAACTGGAAAGGCATCATGACACCACCTTATAAAAAGACAGTGAATATTATAAAGATTTACTTGAAGGATCCTTTAGCTTATTCATGCAGTATGAAAAGTGCAATATATATATATATATATATGCATATATACTTTGTTGGGATAGAACACACACACATCCAATTCAGAGTCTTTAGGAACTGATATAACATGTTCATGCTTTTGAGTGATGTCTTGTAGTTCATACATCTAAATGTTCAAAAGTTGCAGTTTAGTGAATCTCCTAACACACCCTAACATAGTATGACACTTCAACTCTGTGGGTGACTATTACAGATGTAGAAAAATATCTAAATTTGTATGGTTACAATTTCTCCTCTTGTTGAGCAGATCGGAATAACTCTGTGATATCCTCGAATGACTCTTGGAATAATTACCCTGTAAGTATATTCCTGCCCAATCAGACATGCTCTCTTGTACATCTTCTAGGAAACAATTTGTAGCTAAAGATGTCTGTAAAATTAGTTCACAGGTATTTGCTTAAAAAAGAGTCAGGTATAGTGCTATCTTCCTTATTTTCAAGACTCAGAAATTTAATAGAAAATTTCAGAAGTTTGAGGCCAGCCTGGACAATTAGGCAATGTGGACTATACAGTAACACCCTGTCTCAAAAATATAGATAAGTAAATTATTAAATATATAAAAATAAAGAGTTAAATTTGAGTTTGGGACTGTAGAGATGGCTCAGAGTAACAGCACTGGAAGCTGCTCCAGAGGTCATGAGTTCGATCAACAACAACCACATGGTATTCACAACCATCTAAAGTAAGATCACGTACCCTCTTCTGGTGTGCAGGTAAACATGCAGGTAGAACACCATATGTACTGAATAAATTAAATCTTTTTTTAAAAAGGTGTTTGATGTTTACAAAATATATTTAAATTCAAGATATTCATTAACATTCCCACTGACCATTCTCTGTAGAGCACACTGGTGATATTTTGTTTCACCCACACAGACCACCACAGAAGGTGATTAAGCAGACAAAAATCACATACATGATTTATGAGCCCATATTAAGTATGTGGTTACATTTTTGACTGAGGTAGCTGCCCATGCAGTCACCTCAACTAACACAGAACAGGTTTCCACCATGGTCAAACACACTGATATCCATTGTCTTGGAGTTCCACTGCCTTTACCACCTCAGATCCTTGCATATTCCTGTATATTCCTGACTAGCCGCAGACCGGTAGCGATGAATCTCTAGTCCTACAGTCTAGGTTAATATCAAGCATGTGCTTTCTCTTTCTCTCACTCCGTGACTATTGTGTTTACTGCTGTTTATTTATTGCCACTCCTGTTTTATTGTTTCCTTAGGAATCAATCCCTTCACTGAATCCACCAGTGAAAATGACTAAGGACATGCCTCTTGGCTACGTCATTGCTGCCTTCATGGTGATGCTGTATGTGGGTGCCCTGGCTCTTATGCGTAAGTAATTTCTTATAAATTTCCCCAAACAATGAGACCCAGGGTTCTATGACTGCCTTTAAGCAAGTGAACATGCCACATGGGCTTTTAGTTCCCATGCCTTCCCTATCTCCAGATCCAAGACACACATGGTAAGCCATCTAATCCCCACGGGATGTGTTAGGACCCACAAAACTCTGTGGCTGGTTTCTAGTATTTGATGAGTGTTCTGCTCAGTGATCTTACACCATTGCTACTAAGTCTGCAAATATTCCTAATATGTAAAACTCAAGGAACATAAATACTACTGAAGTTTTCAGCTGAAACCATTCATTTATTTATGTATTCATTTATTCATTTTGCATCCTCAACGTGACTCTAGTTTCCCTTCCCTCATCTCCTCCATTCCCTTTCCATGCTGCCCATCTTCCAACTCCCCTTTCAATCCTATCTATGCTTCCTCTGTTTCTGTTCAGAAGGCCAGATTTCCTATGGATATCAACAAAGCAATGCATACCATGCAGTGGGTTAATACCATTTTCTGTTTTAATTTTGGTGCCTTCATTTTTTAACTTTGGGTTTTTGTTTTTTTGCTGTGTGATCATGTAGTCTGGGCTGGTACTGCACTTACTAGGTAGCTTAGGTTGACCTTCCTCAGGATCCTCCTGCCTCCAACATCCAAGTTCTGGACTCACAGGAATAAGGTGCAGTGCTTGGCAACATTGGTTTCCTAACCCTGTACTTTGTCCTTCAGCTGTTTCCATTAAAGGGGAAACATAAGAAATTTAATAGTATGACACAAGACATTTTTGAGTAGGCTTGACATTTTTAGGTCACTTTAAGACCTCTGATGAGTTCTCTCCTAAACTTGGATCTCACTTGTTACCCACAATCAGAATGTGGAATATTCTGGGATGTATTTAGTAGAAGATGCAAACTAGACATTGGTGGGAAAACCACCTTACAGATGCTAGAACAGACTATTTGTGGGTGATGCCCAATCCTATATGGTCCTTCCCATGAATTGTACAACTGTACACAGGGTTTTTCTGTATCTAGTTCATTCCCTGTGTAGGAACTTCAATCATGGACTTTACAAAACATTAGGCATGAGCCCCTTACGGACCTGTTTCATTTGACTGGGCAGAAAATGGGGAATAATGATATGCCTGTCTCTTGTCTCTAATTACACAAGGCTTTAGTCCCAGCACTTGGGAGACAGAAACAACAGGACAATCTTCCTACATGGGAAATTCTAGGCTAGCAAAAGCTAACCAAAGAATTCCTATCTTGAAGCTTAAGAAAATAAAGAATATTCCTATGAAACTTCATAATGCTTCTTTCTGGCTATTTAGAACTTGAGTATCTGAAAAGATTATTTAAGCTGCCTCTAGGTTCATGTGCCTATTATCCCAGCATTCCAAGTGTGTGGTTAGCTTTGTTACATATCAGATAGTGTCTAAAAGGTAGAATTACTAAATACGATTATTGTGTTCTGTTCTTTAGTCTAAAGTTGTTCATTCTCAAATACTTCTTCTCTGGCAGTCCATTAATTTCTAGTCTTTTGTTTGTCTTAGTGAACAATAATTAACCAATGCCACTCTAGCAAGTTAGGCCATATGGATGGATATAGCGGATAATGAGTGGAAAGAAGAACCTTCCTGCAAGATTCAGGAAGGGATTACCCAAAGTTACTGGTGATGCTTCCATCATAAACAGAAACTCTATCCTTGATTAGGAGAAAATGAGTGATTGTGATGACATGTTCAAATTTCCCTTCAATTTCTTCCACCTCTTCCCACCCCCCTTTAGGGTGCATCCTTATCTAAAAGAAGTAGGGGTTTCTGAAGTAAACTGGCATGGATTTTGTTGATTCTTTTCAAACTAACTGTTCTGAGATTATCTCTCTATGCTCTTTTTCTTATACATCACTTTTTACTAATTTATTCATCAGTTGGTTGATTGATTTAAAACAGGGTCTTATAAACCTTTCTTTACTAATTGATTCATTGTTTTTTTTTATATTTTATTTTCCAGTTTAAATTTAGATAAGAATCAAGGTTGCTTCACAAGTCAGTTCCAGGTCCCTCTCCCATTCCCTCCCCTCCTCCCATGCCCTCCCCTCAACCCCAGTTATCCACTCATTCCCCCAGGGAGGGTGAGGCCCTCCATGGAGGTGTCCATAGTCTGTCATTTCATATAGGGCAGGGCCTAGACCCTTCCCCAAGAGTTCAGGGTGAGAGTGCACCTCACATTGTTGGATGGGAGTCCAAAGTCCCTGTGTATACTTGGGATGGGTACTGATCTGCTGCCCAAGGCTCAATAGATTCCCTAGGCCTCCTCACTGACACCCAGATTCAGGGGGTCTTGATCAGTCCCATGCTGGATTCCCAGGCTGATGCCTGGGATTCAAGAGTTAACCTTTGTCTGGTCAGCTGTTTCTGGGGGTTAAACCAGCCCAGTCTTAATCCCTTTGATCATCAGCCCTCCCTCTCTGTTACTGGCTTTCTTGAGTTCAGCTCAGTACTTAATCAAGGGAGTCTGCCTCTTCTTCGATCAGCCACTAAATGAAGTTTCTGTTTCCCAGACTCTCTGGCCATAGGATTGTAGGCTGGCACTCCCCAGATCTATGTCTAAAATCCATATATGAGAGAGTACATGCCATGTTTCTCTTTTTGTGACTGGGTTACCTCACTCAAGATGGTTTCTTCTAGTGTCATCCATTTGCCTGCGAATCCCATGATTCCATTATTTTTTTCTGCTGAATAGTACTCCATTGTGTAGATGTACCACAATTTCTCTATCCACTCTTCGGGTGAGGGAGATCTAGGTTGCTTCCAAGTTCTGGCTATTACAAATAAAGCTGCTATGAACATAGTGGAACAGACATCTTTGTTATATGAATGGGCATCTTTTGGATATATGCCTAAGAGTGGAGTTGCTGGGTCTTGTGGTAGGTTTATTCCCATTTTTCTGAGGAATCTCCATACTGATTTCCAAAGTGGCTGAACCAGTTGGCACTTCCACCAGCAATGGAGGAGTGTCCCCCTTTCACCACATCCTCTCCAGCATAAATTGTCATTGGTGTTTTTTATTTTAGCCATTCTGACAGGAATGAGATGGGTTGGTTGATTTGAAACAGGGTTCTTTGTGTGGTACAGACTGGCCTGGAACCTGAGCTTTTGTAGCTTTTGCCAGGCTGAACTCACAATTCTCCTGCATCAGACTCTTTCACTCTGGGATAACAGCTGTGTTCCACAATGCTCGGCCCCGTTCTGTTCAACATAAAGTTTAATGTGTTCATTTTTTTGTTACCCTCATTTCTCAGAGATGCATTCAGGGTTGGACAGGAACAGAAGCTCCTTTATGCTAATCTCTTTCAGACAGGCACTGAGTAGTAAGTTTGCTTCCTGGAGCTGGTATTTATTGAAGGATTTTCCCTGACCCCCTATTGTTTCATCCAGCATTTTTTTCACTGAGTACTCATTCAATTAAAAACTGAAGTACTTATGAAGCATATAAGCAAGAAGAAAGTTCCTTTGAGGAACTTTTAGGGAAGTATGCTGGAGATGACATGGTTAGGTGGTGGGCTGTTTCAGGGAGCCTCAAGGGAGCAGAAGGCTTAGAGGAAGATGACTTATAAGGTGCCAGGACTGTCACAGAACTGTGGTATAACCAGTGTCTCCACACTCCACACCAGGCCACTTCCCTCACTACACTGGTGTCTCCACTGCAGGCTCCTCAGTTTACTGTACTTGGGGAGCTCTGTTAGTCTCCCCCATGCAAATCACCTATACCTGCTCTGTGCCAAGCTTTTACAACTATCTAGTCTCCTTAATTTGTCTAAAGATTGGCTGCACACTGAGCCAATATTTTCTATCAAAATCAACGTCGTTCAGGCTGTCATCTCTAGACTTACCTATGCAATAATGGGGGTCTCACTCAGGTCACCAGGCACTCCTAAGTCTTTCTAAAGTGGCACAGTGAAAAATAAATTAAATACATGAATCATCCAGTTTCTAGCCCAGTCTAAAATGGACACCCTGATTGGGTTTTTCAGATTTCTGTCTCTAGGTCTCCTACTTCTTGGTTTTAAATTATTATCTTGAAGGACTCCAATAAGAACAGCTATTTTAAAAAGTTAATAATCCTCATTTAGTCTGTTTTCTATAAGAGCAAAAAACAGAGTGTTCCACGACTCAACCAAGATGCTTTATGGAATTCTAGAAGTCTGTGTGGTGCTGAATGGAGCTCAAAGAGTCCCAGGCACAAATCATGAATCAGAGTTCTGCTCAGATCTGAAAGGTGATCAATTGTTCATTCAACATCTCTCTCTTTGCAGGTTAGCAGCAGCTATGGAACCTTGGTGAAGACAATGTCTACATAATTGAATACAGTGCTTTCCCTACAGCATGAATACCAACGGCTCTCTGAGGGAACATCTGCCTGAGATTGAAAAGACAACAACAAGTTTGGACAGCGCAAACAACCTTTACAGCTCCAGGATTATTTTCTGTGTCTACTCATCCAGCAGTGGTGGAGAGGGTGACCCCCAGTACCATCCTATTTCTTACCTCACCACTGACTCAGTCTCTCCACTCAGTGCAGTGCATTCTCTCAAATATGAACATCTTAGAATGCTGTATGTCCTTTATGTCAATAAAGTCGTTGTTAATAAAGGAAATAGACTCCTGCCTTGGTTATTCTAACCATTAAGAGAAGAGTAGGATTGAAATGTTAAAAAAATAGAGTGAGAGTGGGTTGGAGGGGCATCCTGAATTTTGAAGTATTTATCAATCATTTCATGTTTTATCTATTTTAGTGTAATATGAAATGTCACTATCTCTCCACTCCCCAAGAGGTACAATCATGGAAACAAGCAGGTGTTAATTTCCCTCATAGATAAATAGAAGGGAGTCTAATGTTACTAATAGAATTGGTCTGGCTTTCTCACAGCTCTGAAAGTATAGTACATTATCATGTGGTTATCTGAGAATAAGAATGGTCGTTTCAATCAGGAGTGGTTTCCATGTTGAGTATAGCACAGGCCTATATTAGGGGAAGAAAATAGTAAACCAAGGGATTGAGGTCATTTGTGCTATTTCCCCTAAGTCTGACTTGACGCTAGTCTTCCTTTCCTGGGCTCTGAACTAGGTGCTAGAAGGAGACCATGCAGAAATGAAGGGGAAAGGAGGGAGCAGGACACAGGCTCTGCCTGAGAGAAGTCCTAGTCCAGGTGTGACAGAGTTTGGAAATATCACTGGTTCATTCATAGTTTAAATGTATTATTGTTTCCATATCATATTTATATTTAAATTTATTTCACAAGGACCAAGCATTTTCATAGTGGATCAGTGTGTCACAATCAACGAAATATTGGTTTTTCTAAGCTTTTGAAAAGTTGTTCTGTTGGGTTGAGCCCACAAAACTCCACATGCCCATAATGGCAGATATGAGGAAATTTAGTACAGGTGAGGATCAAAGCAAGTGAAAGAAAAAAGGAAGCTCTCTTTACCTGTGTTAGCCTGCCATGCTTTCGGTCCCGCAGCTTGTATGTAAATAAATATATTATATCCCATCTTGCATTGGTCTTCTGCTTCACTGTTCTGCTGGTATCTTCATTGTCAGCCCAGTTGTTGAGGAGAACAGAGTTGCAAGAGGGTAATAATTTCTATTTCATTTTGAGTAAACCCTGACTCCAGGTAGTGCTCTCAGCCTGTAGCAGAAAGGAATGCTGGATCCCACTCTACATCCCACTACTGTTCGACAGAGTTCAAGGAAATAAGTATGTGTCATATTGGGGGTTTCTTGGGAAGTCATATACTAGGAAGTTGCATTCTGGGTTTGCCAAATGGGGCTTCCCTTTTATGCTCTAAAAATGATTGTATCTAAGCTACAGTGTTTTCTGTATCTTAAATGAGCAGCAATTACACATCAAAGCTTGGGTTTAGCAATAATTACAGTGATTGTAGCTTTATTAGAAAGATTTATCAAGATCAGCATGAGTTCTGAGTGATAAGGCCACTAGAATGGGCCATCCATGCATACACTGTCCTGCCTCCTTCCTGATTCCTGTCTGGTGACTGTAAAATTCAGAGATTGTGATGCCTGCTTGTTATTCAGTCTTCCTAGAGAGGCACGGAAGACCAGAAGGGGTCTGGAAACCTGTGTGTCTGCATTTCAACATCATGTTAGAATTCAAGAACACGGTTACTAGTGACATTCTGTGAAAGTATGTGGAACTCAGTGCAAAAAAAGGTCATACATGTGGCTCCAATACTAGGTGTCAATAATAACAATAAGGTAACCTCTCTGTTTACCCCATCTGTTTGCTGTTATCATGTCCACACTTGGTGGACGGTCTGGGCCATTCACTTTCAGGATTGAAAATTGGTTCTTCACAAAACTGGAAAATAGTTACATTAGAAAATTAACACCACAACTGAAAGCCCTAGAACACAAAGAAGCAAACTCACCCAGGAGGAGAAGATGCCAGGAAAAAAACAAACTAAGGGCTGAAATCAATAAAGTAGACACTAGGAAAACAATATAAAGAATCAATGCAACAAAGAGTTGGTTCTTTGAGATAGTCAAACATTTGTTCAAACTTACCGAACTGCAGAGTGTGAACACCTAAATTAACAAAATCAGAAACAAAAAGGGGGACATGAAAACCCAGACACTGAGGAAATTCAGAGAAGCATCAGGTCATACTTTGAAAACCTGAACTCCACAAAATTTGAAAATTTAAGGGAAATGGAAAATATTCTGGATAGTTATCACTTGTCAAAATTAAATCAAGAACAGATAAACAATTTAAATAGACCTACAACCCATATGGAAATAGAAGCCATCATCAAAAGTATCCCAAGCAAAAAAAAAAAAGCCCAGATCCAGATGGCCTCAGTGCAGAATTATATCAATTCTTATCAAAGTATTCCATGCAACAGAAGCAGAAGGGTCTTTGCCAAACTCTTTCCACAAGGCTTCAATAACTTTGATCCCCAAGCCACACAAAGACACAACTAAGAAAGAGAACTACAGACCAATATCCCTCATGGACATTGATGCAAAAATATTAAATAAAATAATGCCAAATCAGATCCAAGAAAAAAATCAAAACAATCATTCACCACAATCAAGTAGGATTCATCCCAGGGATGAAGGGATGGTTCAACATACAAAACCCATCAATGTAATCCACCATATAAACAAGCTGAGAAACAAAAATCACATGATTATCTCACTAGATGCAGAAAAGGCCTTTGACAAAATCCAACACACCTTCATGATAAAGGTCTTGGAGAGATCTGGGATAACAAGAACATAACTAAATATAGTAAAAGCTATATACAGCAAACCAACAGCCAACATCAAACTAAATGGACAGAAACTAAAGGAGATTCCACTAAAATCAGGAACACGACAAGGATGTCCACTCTGTCCATACCTTTTCAATATTGTACTTGAAGTTTTAGTTAGAGCCATACAACAACAAAACGAGTTCAAGGGGATAAAAATTGAAAAGGAAGAGGTCAAACTTTCACTATTTGCAGATGATATGATAGTTTACATAAGCAATCCAAAAAACTATACCAGGGAATTACTACAGCTGATAAAAACTTTTAGCAAAGTGGCAGGATACAAGATCACCTCAAGAAAATCGGTAGTCCTAGTATATACAGAGGATACAAGGGCTGAGAAAGAAATCAGAGAAACATCACCCTTTACAATTGCCACAAACAACATAAAATTCCTTGGGGGTAATGCTAACCAAACAAGTGAAAGACCTACAGGTTGAGTCTTTAAAGAAAGAAATTAAAGAAGGCCTCAGAAAATGGAAAGATTTCCCATGCTCTTGGATAGGTAGGATCAATGTAGTAAAAATGGCAATCCTGCCAAAAGCAATCTACAGATTCAATGCAATCCCCATTAAAATTCCAGCACAATTCTTCACAGGCCTTGAAAGAAAAATAATCAATTTTGTATGGAAAAACAAAAGATCCAGGAAAGCCAAAACAACCTTACTCAACAAAGCAGCATCTGGAGGCATCACCATCCCTTGTTTCAAGCTCTGTTATAAAGCTGTAGTCATGAAAAAGCTTGATATTAGTATTGGCACAAAAATAGACAGGTAAACCAATGGAATTGAATTGAACATCCTGTTATTAACCCATACTTGTATGAACATCTGATCTTCCACAAAGAAGATAAAAATTAACAATGGAAAAAACAAAGCATCTTCAACAAATGGTGCTGGTATAACTGGATATTTGTATGTAAAAGAATGTGGATAGATCCATGTCTATCACCATGCACAAAACTTAAGTCCAAATATATCAAAGACCTCAACATAAATCCAGCCACACTGAACCTCTTAGAAGAAAAAGTGGGTGGTACCCTTGAACAAATTGGTACAGGAGACAGCTTCCTGAACATAAAACCAGTGGCACAAACACTAAGATCAACAATTAATTCATGGGATCTCCTGAAACTGAGAAGCTTCAGGACACAGTCAACAAGACAAATAGGCAGCCCACAGAATGGGAAAAGATATTCACTAACCCATGTCAGACAGAGAACTGATATCCAAAAGTTACAAAGAACTCAAGAAGCAAGACTCAAAAAACACCAAAGGATCCAATTAAAAAGTGGGCTACAGAACACCATAGAATTCTCAATAGAGGAGTCCAAAATGGCTGAGAGGCTCTTGAGAAAGTGCTCAACATCCTTAGCCATCGGGGAGTGCAAATCAAAACAACTCTGAGATACCATCTTTCTCCTGTCAGAATGTCTAAAATTGAAAACACCAATGACAGTTTATGCTAAAGAGGTTGTGGAGAAAGGGGAACACTCCTCCACTGGTAGTGGGAGTGCCAACTCTTGCAGCCACTTTGGAAATCAGTATGGAGATTCCTCAGAAAAATGGGAATAAGCCTACCACAAGACCCAGCAACTCCACTCTTAGGTATATATCCAAAAGATGCACATTCATACAATAAGGACATCTGTTCCACTGTGTTCATAGCAGCATTATTTGTAATAGCCAGAACCTGGAAGCAACCTAGATGCCCCTCAAGTGAAGAGGGGATAGAGAAAATGTGGTACATTTACACAATGGAGTACTAGTCAGCAGAAAAAAACCAATGAAATACTGAAATTTGCAGGCAAATGGATGACACTAGAAGAAACCATCCTGAGTGAGGTAACGCAGTCACAAAAAGACAAACACGGTATATACTCTCTCATATATGGATTTTAGACATAGATCTGGGGAGTGCTAGCCTACAATCCCATGGCCAAAGAGTCTGGGAAACAGAGCCTTCATTCAATGCCTGATGGAAGCAGAGGCATGCCCCGACTGCTAAACACCGAGCTGAACTCAAGGAATCCAGTGACATAGAAGGAGGACTGATGAGTAAAGGGGTTAAGATTGGGCTGGTTTTACTCCCAGAAACAGCTGACCTGACACGGGTTACCTCTTGAATCTCAGACTGATGCCTGGGAATCCAGCATGGGACTGATCAAGACCCCCTGAATGTGGGCGTCAGTGAGGAGGCCTAGGAAATCTATTGAGCCTTGGATAGTAGATCAGTATTTATCCCGGGTATACAAATGGACTTTGGGCACCCATCCAACATTGAGAGATGCACTCTCACC